ACTCAGAATAAGTTTACAGGCTGAGCCTCTTCATAGAACGAAGCACTCCGGAATGAACCTCTTTATATGAATTTGGGCCTTTTGCCCATGCCTCTAACTCACTCAAATTTTAGGATAGTACCACGCTTAGCAACGGTGTGGATCGGCCGCAGGCGTTGGATGCTAGAATGTGCCCTGTTGTTCGCATCAGTGTCGCTTGAAGCAACGCAATCTTTGATGAATGTTTCATTCAAAGATCAGTCACCGTGGACTATGTCTAGGTAAGTAATCCCTGCAATTAACACATGCTTACTAAAATGGGCGCAGCCGGAAAACAAAGGAAGCATTTGGCCACTTGTGCGCCAGAAATGTCACCGAATCTTTTTCAAAGATCCAAAAAGTTTTGGTGGGAAGAAATCTGGCACTATATCTGCGCGTCCAACAAAAATCTCTCCCTTTTTTAGAAACCACAGTTTAACCAACATCTACATCTTGAAAAACGCGCCTTTAATCTCTTCAGTGCATTTCTAGCTGGAAATTGCTCATGAAATCTGATCGCTCTGAAATAATCAACGAAACTTCTTATAAGTTTTCAGAAGTTTTTTGTCGTAGTCCTTCGGGAAAACGGCTATACTGCGAGACGCTCTTAGATCGCTGGTGCAGGAAACTTGATGATGCAGAACATTTCTCTTTTGCAGCCATTGTGGGTCATTTCTATGTATTCCTTGTCATGCAGTACATTGCTCAGGCCCGTAGCCAGAGTGGGTAAGGGATAAAGAGTGCCCTCTGGAGCTCCAACAGCGCCCCAAACGCTACGTTTTCATCACCCATTGCGTTACGATTTTGCTTTCTAAAAAGACAGATGGCTGTTGAAAATCATATTATGGTGTGGATGTGAAGTATCGATAATCTACGCGCCTCCCTTTCTTAATTGCTTCTTTCCCCGTGCGGCAGCAAGATTGCAAGCGACCATGTTCAGACAATCTTCAGGCATCTCTTTAACACTGGCATTCAATGGGCGTGATGCATTACTGCGGCGGGCAAATTGAGGAACTTTCAAAGGCATTTTCAACTTCCTGAACGGGTGCAAACTGGAGGGCGAGAAATCCGGGCTGCAAGGCGTGTCCCAACGCCTCGTAACCGAGTTCTGCTTAAATCTCCTTGTTTCTCGTGCCGCGTGGGGGCGAGAATTCCCATGACCTAATCTATGCTGTTGCGGTTGCCATGACGATTCTAGTGATGCTGTTATTGTATGTTGCCAATCTTTTTCCAGACTTCAGCTCTCAAAACGCTGCTGCATTTGTCCAGTTCTTTCCAACGGTGTAATACGCTAAACAACGGCTCGTGAAGCAGCCATTGTTCGCGCGGTGCGAGTTTTAGAAGCACCCCGTGAAAGACCACATGGTTGGGTATAGTTTCACTGTTTTTTACTTCCACTTCACGGAGTCGCATTTCGCCATAAGCCGTAACGCCTCTCCATGCAGGAAACAACCTAACAAATCAGGTAAAGGGATTTTTGGATGTCATTCAAGATTCCAGCTGGATATGTCATTAGCAGTACCCCTCTGCCAGCGTCCGTTCCTGAAAAACCGTGATCGCGCTAACCGCTGTACATTTCCTTCTGTCCACGCCCCCATGTGTTTTTACAGAACACCATCGTCCCGCCGCATCCGCGTCGTTCGCCGCCGATCCGCGCCGCAGCATCCTGGGCGCTTGCGTCATGGAAACACCCCAGCGCGCAGCGCTGTTACCCGTTCAGGTCCCATTAACCTCCGTCCATCTGTCATGCTCACCCTTCCGTCGCGCCCGAGGCGGCTGACTGAACCGCGCACACCACGACCTGCGCCGAAACACCTGTTCCAACTGACTGGAACCTCCTATGCCGGTCCCTGTCCTTGTGTGCCTGGCTGCGGCGACAATGGCAGCGGCACGAGCGGGCTCGCTTACACGCCAGTGAAGTCCGGGGTTAAATTAGTAGCGATTTGTTAACGACAAGCGCCTATTTCAGTCACAGCGCCACGCAATGTCGTGCGACACTCAAGGTTGGCTTGGGTCAAATGACAGGCAAATGCGTATCACCCAAAATCATTCGGCCAATTCCGGATCGCTAAGCACTAGAATGTTACTCAGTGCAAATACTAGCGTCCGTCCAGAAGTCCTGACGAAGGGAAACCCGAAGTTTACATGCTGCATTCGCCCGGCTGGCGCCCGTTTCGCGTGAATTTTGATCATATTTCATCTTTTCTCATCTTTTCTTTTGTGCCGTGAATTTTTCATCTTTTTTGATCACATGAGTTTCAAATATAACTGCACCGAAGTGACAGCAAAGGCTCATATAGCTGCACTTTGGATACGCCCGTTAGCATGACATTGGGCAGCATTGTGCCTGCTATCGTTCCATGTTGGAATGACTTTCAGCAGAGTAACACAGAAACGTGTGAATTCAAAGTATGTTAACATCAGTGCAACGTTTAGTTTAGCTGTAATCCACGGAAGAGCCACCAAACCAGAATCGGCGCTATTTTGGAGAATGCCTATGGGACGAAATGTTTGTCATGTATATAGTTAAGCCGAGTGTGCAAAATATTGATAATAGTAAGGGGAGATAACAGGGCCCTTTCCAAGCCCATAATCTCAAAGCACGCGAAGTGCTATGCACGTATGGACATGTATACACTGGTGGATCGCAATATACGAGTGGCACGCTAGAAGGGCGTATTTCACCTGTCTCAAGAAACAGGATTTTGTAAATCTTATTTTAAAACCTCTGAAAGCCTGGGCTTCTTGGCTAGTGTCAACATAGCTGCTCTAATGCAAAAGATATTCATACGTCCTGTCAGTTTACACATTCATACTCATCCATCAGAATGCGTGGTGCAGGAGGGCAATGCATCTTGCAAGGCATGCCGTTCGCCAAAAGATCTTGTCATTAACAGGGGAAAGTTGTTAATGTGAACAAAGCGTGTCGCACAACGCAACTTAAACGCAGCTATTTGTTTACACACAGCAACGGCCATAAAACCGGGGCAAAGTACAAGCTGCCATGTTCAAAAGCCTGTAAGTTGTTTGGTGTACTGTAGGAATGCATAATTTTCTTTCAATTTGTGTTACGACCCATGC